TCGAGAGCCAGAAAGCATTTAGACTTTTTTGCATAGAGTAAATTGTAAATCACTGAACATTCTTAACAGCAAGCATCCGCCGGGCGAGACTGCGCAAAGCGCATGATCGCTCGGTGTATCTCAGTGAGCACCACTGTTCATTTAAAATAATTTTAGCTCCCCCTCTGTCATTATGGTGCAGACACTGTGAATGGAATAAGGCGATATTGCAGATAGAGCCGGTGCCGCTCTCATCCGAAGATATCAGTGTGATCTTTGCAAGCAGTGCTGCTGGTGTAGCTGCATCCAGTATACCTGTTGCTTATTTCCTGCATTGTCTCGGCCCACGAATCACATTTACCGTGCTGCTGCTTATTTCGGCAGCGGCAACAGCTGCCTTACCATGGGCAACCCAGTTCGGCTTGCGTGTAATCGTTTGCGCCAGGCTTGTGCAAGGTCTCTTTCGTTCAAGCAATGTTTTTTCAGGAGTCTGCGCGCTAAACAGCCACCATTGATCTCTGAATTAAATTTAATCCAAATACCTGGCTGGTTGGAAAAAGTTTTGCGTTTTTGTTAAAAAATTTGGCATTTTTGCTATCAACAAATAGAAAAGATGATTGCAGGTGTAGCAATGGCTGCAGTGATGCCAATGATCGGTTCCGTAAGCTCCCGCTGGGCACCGTTCGCTGAACTTGGTGCGTCACTTCTCCGGTTATGCGTTTTTGCTTATACACAAATGCAAAAATGCATATTATGACGGTGCCGATGTGTGTGTCCGGATATTTTGGCGTCCAAGCAAGCTCTGGCGCCAAAATTTTGCCACTGGGTTCCTCAACCAAGTGCCACTCCAAGACAGCGGTGCCGACCCTCATGCACGCCTAGGCCCCGCGTAAGGGTGCGCGAAAGTTTTGGCGGGAAAATCGCCAACTCGGGAACCAGAAAAGCTAGCAAGCTGAAATTTTGAGGTCGTATTCCCCGTCCTCATTGAACTCAAAAATTTCAAATTCAGCCACCAGGTGTTCGTGGAATCCGTATATGGCCTCGTGAAGGTTCCTGGCGCGAAAATCGCTAAATTGGGAGCCAAGGAAGCTGGGAAGCTGAAATTTTCAGGGAATGTTCCCAGCGCATGCACGGCGAAAATTTATCAGATTCATCCGTAAGGCATTCGTAGTTTTTACGTACAGCTCCTTAAAATTTTTTGGAAGAAAAATGGCTAACTCGGGAAAAAGGAAAGCTAGGAACTGAAATTTTAATGGTATGTTCCCAGCCTCCGTAAAAGTTAAAGATATCAAATTCAGCCCCCAGATACATGTGATTCTCATGTACGGACCCATGAAATTTTTTGGCAGGAAAATTGCTAACTCAAGAACCGGCTAAAATGAAAAGCTGAAATTTTACCGAAATGTTCTCTGTCGAAGTACCGCGTAGACAATTAACTTCCCGAACTTCCAGAACCAGCATGTCACAAATCCTAGCTGCTGGGTTTCCGAGCGGTCTCATTACAGCACGACGTACTGCAAAAACGTATGATCGCACAGCCCCGCAGCTGTGCATCACCAATAATTTTTTATGAAAATCAAAAAAAGCCAAGTGTGGCCGCTCACAGTTTGCCAAATGTGTCATCTTCCGCACATTTTGTTAAGACTGTCTATCAGAATTCATCTCAGATTATTAGAAATTTGTCAGTTTTGCTGTGCGGTTTGCTGGAGAGTTATCAGCCTTTTTGCGATTTTGCCTTGAAATAAAAAATACTAGTGGAAAAGAATACTGATGAGACGCAGTTTTATTTTAT